TCATTAATAGTGTCAGGGGTTGGCAGGTCTCCTACAGGATGGGTCTCGGGTTGGGCCAGTCATTGGCTGCCCATTCCCTCAAGCTCGGTTCCATCTTTTATCTCTGAACATCTTGGAGGCACGGTAAATTTTGAGTCAAAGGCTTTGTGGGTTGGTGCCCCCTCCCTCCACTGGAAGTCCTGCCTGGCTATAGGAGATGGCCTCTTCGGTCCCCACCCCTCAAGCCCCTTCCCCTACCTCCTGCAGCTAGGTGTCTCATTTAGAGTCACCTGAATACCATCCTGGGAGCCCACCCAGTAGCAGATCATCAGCTTGTCTCAGTGATGCCCTCCCACCTCAGTGTCCCTTCTTTCTCCCAGCCTTCTCACCACCTACCCGCCTTCACCTCCCCATGCCCTCTCTTCATCCACTTTCGATGTCTATTCTCTTTTCCCTCTGAGAAGGACTCAAGAATCCCCCTTTGGGCCCTCTTTGTTACTTAGCTTCTTTAGGTCTGCAGAGACATGAACGCCTCAAGAACAACAGAGTCAACTAACCTAGGCCCATAGGGGCTCACACTGACTGCAGCACCAACCAAAGAGCAGGCATGGACTGAACCTAGGCCATGACACATATGTAACTGATGGGCAGCTTGGTCCTCATGTGGGTCCCCTAGCAACAAGGGGAGCAGGGGTCATATCTGACATGGACTCTGTTGCCTGCTTTGGATCACTTTTCCCTATCTGGGCTGCCTTGTCTGGCCTCAGTGGAAGAGGATGTGCTTAGTCCTGATGTAACTTGATGTGCTGGGGTGGGTTTGTAGGGAGGGCTCCTTTTTGATGAGAAGGGGAGGGAGGAAAGGGGGGAAAGGGTAGGAGGGTGGGGTGGAGTGGAGAAGAGGGGGGCTGGGATCAGGATAAAAAATTAATAAATAAATTAATTTAATTTAAAAAATTGCCAGACACGGTGGTGCATGCCTGTAATCCAACACTCAGGGAGGCCAAGGCAGGCAGACCTCTGAGTTGAGGCCAGCCTGGTCTACAAAGTGAGTCCAGGATAGCCAAGGCTACACAGAGAAACCCTGTCTCAAAAAAAAAGTTTTTTAAAAGTCAGATGAGAGTTATGTATAGACAAAATGTAGAGCATTTTGTTGGAGTTTCTTCTAAGGGCATGGGGACTCCTCTTACTGTGTTTCAAAGCATTGATTGCTACTGCACTGAACAGTTTACCCACCTCTCCTCAAAATCATTCTTCTCCTCTATGAAAGCAATTTCAATAAAACTTTATTTTAAAAAGAAAAAAACAAAAAGGTTTAACATTTATAAACACTGCATGCTTTCTCTTAGATACTAAAAATTGCAACATACTCATTTCTCAGATTTTCTCAAAATACTGACTTTCTGATTCTAGCTAAATATAATTTTAGTAACTCATCAAGACAGAATACATAAAATTGGCATATTTTTGATGGGCACACAAACTGAGAAAGCATCTTTCCCAACTGTGGTATAGAAAATGGAATGAATCTGGTGTGAGAATATGGCCCAAAATGTGAACAAGAATTAGTAGGAAGAAAGGGTCTGTCTGTCTGCCTGTCTTTCTTTCTCTCCTATTTTCAAAGCAGAATATTTGAAATGATATACGAGGAGGCACTGTTAAGTCTGTTGGTGTTTTTCAAAAGTGATTAAAGATAATGAGAAGACTACTGAGGGCGTGGACAGCAGCAGTGTGTTCACTTTAACCAGTCCTTTTGCTGAACTTGTGCTTAACATCTCTACAGAGTGTCAGAATGTAGGCACATGTGTTGTTGGGACCTCATGCCGGGCTGGGGGCGGAGAAGTGGGGAGTGTGTTGGAGAACATGGCTGATGCCAGGAACAAGCAAAAAATAGGACAATTTTCAAGAATCTGCCCAATTTTACAATGAATTGTATGTATAATGATAGTCTGGATACTAGAAAGAATTGCTTTCACTATCTTATCTTCTGTGCATGTCCTTCTAGGCTGGTGACTGGTAAACAAAGCATCATGTGCTCTGTCCTCCTCATGCCCAGATGTCCTGAAGATGAGAAGCTGAGGGGCAAGGAAAGCCCCCCAGACAGACCTGGGAAGGCATTATGTTACAAAGAGAACCTGCCCCTGGGCACCTTAATCAATTCCGTTCCAAGTTTGGATTCCCTTTCTTCTCTTCCCTATTGGGAGGTGTGCTCAGCTCCTTTTAGTTGAAGAAAAGGGTACTTTAAAAGACTACAGGCGTCTCTTCTCCTTCAGTCAGAGAGTCTCTGAAACATACCTGTAAGCATAATGTATCTCTGAACCACAGGGCACACCTAAGAACAAGGCCCCACGAACAGCGGACGGCTGTGCCTGGCCATCCCCTGAGGACTTGCTGCTTGTTCTGCCTAACCCTCCACAGTTCACCGATTAATTCCTCAGCTTCGCTTCAGTTTCTAAAATATTCCTTTAGTAGCTGCATTGAAATGCTGCTTCCTTATAGTGAAGGCCTTCTTTAGAAACATAAAATGAACAACATGCGACTTTTAAATGTAAGAAGACATGCAACAGTGCATCAGTGACCAAGTTAGAAATTAACACAGATGATCTGTTGGAGAGCTGTGGCAGGAATGGGGGGTTATGACACACGCACACGTGTACGCCTCTAGTATTGGACGGAAATCATCCCAAAAGTTAAAATTTACAAGTTCACAGAAGTGTTGGGAAGCATGGGGAAAGATTCTGAAAACTGAGGAGTACACACCCCGCTGTTCTACTCACATACCAACCTGGAGAAGTCACTTAGGTGCCTTGGGCATTAGCTTCTAATCTGCAAATTGGTGAGAACGGCTACAGCACTGCAGTGACTATTAAAAAGTGCAGTGCTATGGTGTCCCCACTGTACGATGAAATCACAGACAAAATTGTTATTTCAGTATCGTCTCCGAAACAGCTTAGAAAGCTTCAAAAAGGTTTTGGTTTTTTAAAAAGAGGATGTGGGGGGCACAAAGATGAAATTTGCATTCTGTTTTTGCTTTGAAAATATCTTAGCTCGATGGGCTGCTACTTTATAACTTCATAAATTAACTTTCACCATAATATGTTAGGTGCCTTCCAAAATAATTCTATTATTATGTGTTGCTCTAAAAGTTAGGAAAGATAAAATATCAAAACAATTTTTCAACATTAAAATAAATGTGCATTAGAACTATACAGAAACTCAAAAAACATTTCCTCATAGTATTTGTACACTATTCTTGGTTATGAACTTTATACATCTGGAGTTAACTAGAACCCAAATGAGGGATCATTTTAATGAAATTCTTTGAAGTGGGAAGACATACTTCTAATCCAAGTCTTCGATGTGTGAAGATGCATTTTTAATCCAGATCTTTAATCTGAGCCACACCTTCTGCTGGCAGCCCTGTATAAAGAGGAAGGAAGCTGGCTCTCTTTTTGCCTGCTTGCTCTTGCCCTTGCTAGCAAATTCATTCCTTCACTAGCATTAGAGCCTACTTCTTTGGGATTCTGGAATATACCAAAGACCAGCTAAGACATCCATTCTCACGGACTCATGATCATCTACCAGATTCTTGGCTCTTCCATGAATAGGGAGCCATTGTTGGACTAGCTAGACCTGTAGGCCATCAATCCCCTTTATTCCCTGTATGAATTCTGCTCCTCTGGAGAACTCTGACTAATAGATACACAAGCACTTTCACTTTGCTTTTGAAATTAAAAGAAAAAATTCTATTCAGGTCTGTTTCAAGACAATAAAAGGTAAAGTTGTCTTATCTTTCTCTGCCAATGGTGTCTATCTAATCTAAGCTTTCTCTAGAACACCAAACGTTTGCCACACAGAAAAATGAATGAAGTGACTGATTTCTGACCTACTTTTTAAGAAACTACACTAAAAAATAGTACCTAAGCTATAGACTTTTTTCTGAGCTCTTCTTGTCTCACATAATCAAAGGATACATTTCAGCAAATGGTCAAGTTATTTTTCTAGCTAGCTATTTTCTACTTAAGGTTTTAATGCAATATCACTCACTTAACATGGTCAGAATTACAGCAATGAGAGTTTAATAAGCTAAGATGCACTGAATGAAAAACAATTGTTTTAGGCCCCTCGTAGAATTGAATTTTGAGATATTTTCTACCATGAACATGATTTGATAGACATTTATAAAAAGAACAGATTCTCTCTTTGAAGGAGGAGTAAGCGTAGCTCCTGATGACTTACATTTTCCATTAAACCATATGAAACACTCTCGTTTATGTGGTCTTGTTTATGTGTAAAGTAACATGTTTTAGAAGCACATATTTCTGGTGAGTCCTAAACTTTAGAGCTATGGAAATGTATCTACTTGAGGAGCTTGGACCCTGCAGTCCCCCTGTGGGACAGTGATCCACCTGCGGCAGAAACTTTCAAGAAGAGAACTCGAAGTTTAGCGAAGTTAGATTAGTCCTGATCTAAGCCACAACTTCCCCTTTCCGCATTCCCAAGTCCACTGCTAGCCCTCTGCTTCATGGAGCGCCCCTTCCACAAACCCACCCGCGGTTGCGAGTTCCTTTCCTAAATTTTGAGGGCTTTTTCTTTTACCAAGAGAATGCTTGGTCGGGCCTGTTGCGGGGACCTCCAAAAGGCAACGACGCAAGGCTCTCAAGCTAACTTGTAACTTCTCCTCAGCTGTTCATTAAGCTACCCAAACCGCATTGGCGAAAGGTGTGATTCTGATCAAAGTAGAGTACAAGTATGGATTCTGTCAGTACTAAACCCGAGCGAGCGAAATGTTTTCTTTGCTCGTTTCAGCTAGTTTATAGTCCAGTCCCGCCCTGCCTTCCGCCACACACACACACACACACACACACACACACACACACACACACACAC